AGACGTGTACCCGTCAGACGGCAAGCAGCCAGGAGTTCACATGGCGAAGTGTAAGGATTGGATGGGTCTAGTGGCCGAACAAGTGGGCAGGAAGGAGGTACTCCCGCATATCACAACGTTTATCCCACGTTCAGCGAATCGCAAGCTTAAGGAGTTTAGGCTTTGCCGTTGGGCATTCACGGCTAGGGACGGTGTTATATACCTTGGGAGAAGCGTGTATGCGCCTGCTGCGGCACTGATAGCCATATTGAAGATGAGATGCACATTTTGCTGGACTGTCTGTTGTACGACAAAATCAGATCTGATATGAATTTCCCACGCTTCGAGCATGTGAAGGACGCTATGAAGTGGGAACCTGAAAGTCTGGCAAGGATGCTGGAACGTATGTAGTCCCACCGCTTGCTACCCTTACCCGCTGCAGCCAAATGATCTTGCCAAAAACTCACCACATTGTGCATGACTTTGGTGAACCAATACGGGCTATTCAGCCAACCCATAGGCAGGGTGTTCATCTCGTAAAGGACACCACAAAAACAAAAGGTGAAAAAATGCTGATCCACTGGGTGAATGGGGATGTGGTAAGAGGTGTCAGCCAAATCCACCTTAACCATCCAAGAGCCCTCGAGGCCCATACACCACAGGGTGCAGAGGGTTTCATACTGACACTTATAAGCCTTCTGCATGATGTTCATCCTCACGGTTGACCCACGAGATGGCAGGAGAGGCTCCTCCTTCTCCAACCACTGTTCATCTGTGGCAGGAAAACTCGGCAGGTCAAAAGCAGGCCGTGGGCAGCTACCTTGAAACTCCATCAGAACACCATGCTTCAAGATGTTGAATTGAATTCTGCCTCTATTGCCCTCCAAGCGGCCAGCTGCATTGAGGCCCTTGCATGCAAGGGCATGGAGGTGTTGGACATGGTGGACTAATCATGCTGCCCCGGAAACTCCATCAGAGCCCGTCACCACATGGAAGGAGTGGGGTGACTTGCATGCAACCACTGCCACCACTGTGTAACACCAGGCAAAGAGTACTCAGTTGGGAGATGCCAGGGGAGCTGATCCCTCTTACATTCCGCCCTTCCTCGAGTGAACGTCCTCGGGCGCCCCCGGGCATATCCCGTAGGATTTAGGTTGTTTGAGATCCCGTAGGATTGTGAGTTAGAGTGTTATTATGACATATCGTTAGGGTTGGCAAAATCTTTAGATGGAAAAAGTATCTAATTAGATATCTAATTAGATACCTAATCTAATTAGGTAAACCTTTAGATGGCCAGACGGAAAACTGCCTAAACGGTGGAATTTTGACCTGAAATTTTGCACACGATGCGCCTTTATCTTTTCCTGGATTTTCCAATAATTTTTTGGGCCGCTCGACACTGGGAACACGGCGAACGCCTATGGGCGCTCTACAGACGCGTGTCGGATGGCGCCAGGGGGTGTAATTAGGCGCCCTTTTGCGCTGGCAGATGTCGTGGACAGGGCGGGAAGGCGGCGGGATAAAGCCAACCTTGCGGAGGGCATGTTCGAAGCCTGTTTGAAGGATAGTGCAGTCCAGCTGCAGATTTTATTCATGAGGCAGGTAGTGGGGACGGCACGGCCATCCCACAGGCTGTTGTACGTGGAGCTGGCTGAACTCCCCTTACAATATTACATGGTGAAGCAGATTCTCCGTTTCTGGAACCGCGTTCAAAAGCAAGTGGGATCCATTGCTCATGCAGTTTTACGGCAGGAGATAACCGATGCCCTGACCAACCCGGAATGGGAGGGTTGGGGAATCTCAATGTTACGACTGTTTTCCTTCTTGGAGTGCAACATTTGGAGCGGAATACCGCAAGAAGTCGTGGGGGTAAAGGAGCGTGTTGACTGGTTGTTGAGTAGACCTCTACCAGAAGGAGCGATAATAACGGCACTAAGAGAGCGTTTGATGAGCGGCTGGGACCATACGCGTCTGACTGTCTTGCCAGGGGAGTACCCATCAGATGGGAAGCAACCGGGAGTGCAAATGGCGAAGTATAAGCACTGGATGGGGCTGCCCTTTTCGGGAGCCGCAGCCGTCATGTGGCCAACACATGCTAAGGTTTTCATTCCTCGTTTAGCACATCGTAAGCTAATGCAGTTTCGTTTATGTTGCTGGGCTTTGGAGGCGAACAGAGCACGAAGGGGCAAGTACCATGTCCCCAGGGGGCAGCGGTTTTGCCACTGTTGTGGTCCTAATAGCCGAATTGAGGATGAAAAACACGTGTTATTGGAATGCCCAGCCTATAATGATATTCGTGCTGAAGAGGGATTCGATCATCAACAGAGTATGTTGGAGGCCATGCAATGGGACCCGCACGTCTGGCGAGGATGTTGGAACGTATGTGGGCTCACCGAAACTCAATTACCCCCTTTGGACGCTAGTCTGGGCTGATGTGCGGTGTTTTTCCTTTTCTCCGTGGCTTTTAGGCGTTGTAGTATTGCCCTTGGGCCTTCGGCTCGTATGGGTAGTCTTCTTACAGGTATGGGGTCACGCACCCCTAACCATGTAACACACACACACACAATTAGGCGCCCCGCGGCCCAACCGTCGGCCCAACCGCAAACGGAACCACCAAAGTACACATGCCAACATGCGGGACACGCCCGCATTGGGATGCAAAGCTGTCGGGCTCTGTTCTGCCGGCCTGTTCGACTGGCGACAACGGGGTTTCACCTCCACACACCCGTCACGCAGTCAGTTGTCCTTGCCCACCGGCCGCACCACGCAAACGACAGAAACATCACGGCATTAGACGACAACAGCCCTCATTAGCAGGCTTCGTGCTGTTGGTTGTGGGCGCCCCGGACTGCTCGCTTCCGACCGCGCTGGCGACGTCCTTCTGGTGCTTCGCATAGTGATCCGGGCAGACAGCTGACGGGTTCTTCGCGCTATAGGACTTGCTGCAAACGGTGCAGACGAGGTTCACAACGCCTTTTACGAGCAACACGTCGAATATGGACCAGTACGCTGCGGCTTTGATGCTGCGCTTGGCTTCGCAGAGCTTAGCTGCGTACTGTGGCGCGTCGAAAGTCTGGTGGTTGTATTTGTATGTGATCGGCTTTTGGGGTCCTGGTTCTGCCATTGTGTATTTTTACGTCTATTTGTGTATGTAATAGCGCGGAGCAAGGATATGACACTAAAGTTACCTTCAACATAGCTGTTTCGCGTGCCATGACTCACGTTTAAACGGTCTGGATTCGGTCACCGGCCTTTAGATAGGCATTAGATGGACTAGATACGTTTAGATGCCCACCTAAACGGTTTAGATGGCCTCATCTAAAATCTATATAGAAATCTAATTAGATGGCATCTAAATTATTTTCTAAACCTAAACTTCCGGCCAACCCTACATATCGTCAGTTTCCGTCCGAGATGGAGAATTTTATTTCTACTCAGCTGGTAGACTTCTCGCCCGCCCAGGCATTCACCTTGGTGAAGAGTATGCTGCATCATGCCTGGTTAGCGATCTATTCGGAACCGGATTCGATCCGGGGAGTTCCCACCTCCTAGCAATTCGCACCACTGTAACACCAGGCAAAGAGTATTCAGTTGGGAGATGCCAGGGGAGCTGATCCCTCTTACACACTGTGACCCCAGCGCAGGCAGAAGTCAATCTCCTGATCTGCTGAAGAGAAAACCTTCAGCATCACGCCCAAACCTTGGAGATCAGCTTGGTTAAATGCGTCGTCTTGAGGCCATTTGCTGTTGTAGCTGCAGGAGTAGGCTTGTTGAGTCTGGGGTGGGTGGGAGTTGTTGACCCGCGCCTGAGACAGCATGGGGCATAAACTGCGCCGCTGAAGCCCTCGAGGAAATGCCAGTCTGTGACATTCCAGTTAGCTGAGTAGTATAGCTGTGAGTTGGCTCCACCAGTGGAGTCATTCCCAGCGATACCGGGACATGTACAGCCACTAGCTATGAAATGTGTTTCAGTTAGGTGGGCTAACTCCTTGGTGCTTGTGTTATATAAGCACTCTTCCCGATGGGTCTCGCTGACGTGCCGAAGGCACAGCGATGTAGTAACAGAGAGCAAGACCTGTTCTGTTGAACAACAAAAACAAGATAAGCTTACCAGCTTAATATGCGCAGTAAATGACGGCCCTGAGGGCAAGGACTGTACAGTTGCAAAACAGTTTGCCTAACAGTTACAGATTGGGCCTTACACCCAACTAACCCAGCCATGCTGTGTCATCATCTGAGACCATGAGCCAGAGTCTGGCTCAACCTGCCTAGCTTTTGCTGACCTGTAAAGGATCCTGAACCCATGCAAAAGACGTGAATGGCTTCATGTCGTCTCGGCTTCCATGCTAGGACGGCCATACAACATGCTGTCGGCCAAGATCCATTGGCCGCCATTGTACGGACTGACTTTTGTTTCGAAGTAAGGCACACTTCTTCACGGTCGTCCTGCTTGCCGCCATGCATGCACAAGCGTGATCTCTAGCAAAGGTCTCCACACAAGGCCCTCTTATAGCATGAACATTATGTTCATCACAATAGGCTCTATCTGCCAATTGGTTCCAGATAGCTTTCTTTCCCCATTCCATCCGTTTTTCCCAACCCCTCAAAACCTGTGCCACCTGCAGAGCACCGTTTGGAGTCTGTTTTACGCTCCACTGCCTGCCCGTGGGCAGGCATCCCCGCCCTCTATTAACACCCCATCCCCATCTTACCATTCGAAGTCCAAAGCCTCTAATATCAAAGCGCACGTTCCGGGTAAAGTGTGCCTGTTGATTGGTATTTTTACATTTTAAATTTCCTTATTCCCAATCCTTTTCCTCGTCTCTCTTCCTCTCTACTTCTTCTTCTCCTCCTCAGCTAGACCCCTCCCCCCCGCTCCTTCGTCTCCATTCAACTTCATTCAACCTCCAGCTATTGATGCAACGTTGCCATGTATTTTGCACTGTATGTACAATGTCAAAAGAAAGCTCCAGAACCACACCTAACGACCTAACTGCAAGCCTCTACAGCCGCCACTGCAATCAACTGGGCAACTGAGGCTGTCGAGCCTTTGGCCTAAGCAGCAGATAAATGCAGGGCCCTATGACGGGCAGTAGAGAGAGAATCGGCAGCACCTGGGACCTGCAGAGACATGCACATACATGCGGACAGACAGACAAACAAGCCGATTCTTTGGATATGCTCAGACATTCACTGGAGATTAAAAATGCTGATGAACCGAGTGTGACTATTGGAACGATAGCGGAAAGGATTATAGCAGAGGACAGGTATCGAACCCGAAATCTCGTCTTTCACGGAAGCAAGACCGGGAGGAATACCTGGGAGGTGGGAGGGTTTAAGAGAGACATTGCGGTACAACCGCGACATAAAGGACAGGTGGCTTTGGTAAGCCCGTAACTGCCGCACTTCACCATCTTGCTCAGCTAACGTGCTGCTCGGAATGCATATTCATGCGGGTCACAATGTCGCACATCACATCATGTCCCGCATCAGTGTAATCGCGATGTGCCATCGCTGCGTTAGCAGCAAGTGTCAGAACAGCAGAACGGGGACAGCACAGCAGAGCGATACCATGACATAAAATGCAGTGAACCGCCATAATGCTGTCTGTAATGCCGTACGTACGGCGGGGTGGGGTATAACGCCTGCGCGCGAGTGTGTGTGTGTGTGTGTGTGTGTGTCTCTCCACACATGGTGGGGGGGAACGGTGGCGACGTGCAGCGGTGCTGCGCGCTCCTCACCGTCTGGCCCAGTTCCTCCCAGTCGCGTCGTTCTCCATCCAGAAAGGCGCCAGGGCTGTGAGAGTGGCGAAGTCAATGCTGGTGACGTGGACCAGACGGCTCTCGTCAAACAGTTTAAAGTAGTCCAGCCAGATGTCGCCGTTGGAGGTAACGGCCTGCGTTGCGCATACATACATACATACATACATACATACATACATACATACATACATACATACATACATACATACATACATACGGACGGTAGGCACATCCATTCCAGGCGTTGCCGTGTTCATCCCACGTCTTGCCTGTCGTACAGCCGTTTCCCGTTCGCAATCATCACCTTGCGCAATCCCATCCACCCCAACACTTAACTTCCGCATCTTGATCTTAACTTCCTGTCACGTGCGGCATATGCAGTATATATTTATTCCCAACCTACTTCATTCCCGCTGTACACAGCAAGGACTGGCGTACGGAATCACGACAATACGGACCTTGCCTGCTGATACTATCAGCACACTAAGCGGCGCTCTGTTCAAAGGATTTCAGACGCGGGGAAAGTACTATTCATCATTACTATTTCCCCCGGTCTGTGGTATACACGTGCGACACTTCAGCGATCATGAAACACCACCGCTATGTAACGCATCATCCCGTACACATTCGTACACATGCCGTACTACCTGGAAGACGTAGTACAGCGAGCCCGCAAGCAGCACCCCTGGCATCACCGGCGTCTCGGCACCTTTGAGGAAGAGGCGGGACCAGCCCTCTAACTCCGCCGACGGTGGCGGCAGGGGGTTGTCTTCTGGCCGCCTGTACGGCCGCCATAGCGCCATGTACGGCAGCAACGCAAAGGCGCCGAATAAGAATGACAGGGTCACGAAGGGCCAGGCGGGAACCTGCACAAGGAGGAGGGCGGATGAGGGCCACAGAGGGGAGAAGAGACCAACGAGGCCAAAGTAGGCTGTGGCGCGGAAGTAAGAGGCGCTGTAGAGGTGTTTGGAAGGGGCACCTGGAGGGGGCACTTGCGCTCATGGTACTTAAAGTGAGGACGTCGCCCCGCGCCACCCACCCACCCACCCACATATCCAACCATATATCCCGTCCGCGGGAGAGAGAGAGCTTGGGCGGCCTTTCCGTTGGGGCTGGGCAGCAGCCCCTGGCCAGTGTCAGGCCCGGTCAGATACTTGTAGCCTCTACTTACATATACACACACCACACCCCATACACGCGCGCACGCACTCGCACTGCTTGCACCCAACTACAATCGCACAGTCGCGCAATCCCGCAATCCCCTTCGTCAACGACACGTAGGCCCGTACAGCCGTACACACCTTGTTCTCGCTGCGCCCAGCGGGCACAAGTAGCGAGGCGTAGATGGCGGGGTAAATGCCCATGATGCTGAAGAGTGAAACGAAGACAGGGTTGACGATGAAACCGTCATTTTCGCCGATGCCGAGAATCCTCTCAAGAAAGATTTGGTCTCGATACGGTGTTTGGTTGGGGGCTAGCATAAACCCGTAAACTGTCGTACAAATTCAGGGAAACGGAGCGCGTTAGAAAAATGGTAACATGGTAACAAGCGGGTGATGTACGGAGAAGACGTGAGAAGTGCAGGCCTTCAGAAGCATGCGGACTACAGTTGTGCCTAAAGTCGCCAAGCATACAGCAGGGGAGCATGGCATAGAGCGCGCCATTCTGTTTACAACGCATCAGCAAACACCTTCGGCAATTGGCAGGATACGAAAGCCCTGGGGTCGTTGGGGGTAACCAAGCAGCTGTCCATCCCATACCGAAATTCAACCCCGTGCAGTAAACATTTTTCACCTGATAGCCCAATCCATAGCGCAGTAATACCGATGGAAAACAATAGCTGGCTGGTATCCGATGAGGGCGTGGGTGGCGTCGATGTGGGTGGCGTCGATGCGGGATCCTGCTGCGCGCTCCGAACTGATACATGGCGAGCCGATGGCATCGGCCATTCCAACCTAGATTCTACTATTGTACGTGAGCATATGCGCCGATTTGATGAACGCACAGCGCAGAGAGGGACCTGCCGAGAAGGAAACTATCACCCACACAATAATGATGCGTTGCGACAGGCTAGGGCTCGGCTAAATCTATTTACCTGCAAACTTGAATTTGTCCGGTGTAATTTAAGTAAACTCTGGAAGGGCCGCACGCATAGGTGCGCCATGTCCTTGTTGTGCAAGTAAAACGAGTACTGGTGTGCGACAGGACAATAGTCGAAAAGAAATACAATTATAGTTTTACAGGTGTAATTAGTAAGCATGTTAGCGATCGGTTAGATCCTGTAAATGGCATGGCCAGAAGCCTCCAAACGATTCCGTACAATTCCGTCACAATTAAGCATAACCCAAAATAATGCCTGCATGAGCTTATCATACAGTTAACTCGTAAGGAGTCCCTCACAACGAATCAAAAACACATTCTTGAAACCTGTTTGCGATACAGTGCGTACGAGGTAAAAAAACTCGGCATGCACAGCCTGTCCATCCTCAGGTTGGGACAAACCATTGCGGCGCGGCCCCGCCCACCCCCACCCCCGCTGCCGTGGCATCTCCGCAAACCCCCTCCTATAATCCTTTCATGTGCGACTCCTCTGCATGCATCCCATGCACCAGCACCTACGCCCTCTTGTGTCCCCAATCTGTGTCCATAAAGAGAAGTATGCCGTACTTATGGATGGCGGTCATGGAGCGCACACACTATGCTTGCCGTACACACGGCGCCCAATATTTTAATGAAACGCAAATCGCAACACAGTGCCAACGGCCAGTCGGGTAAATCATTAGGGTATCATGCATCACCGTGTAGCTTTGTACAATAGTACGACATGCAATAGCTCGTATGGCACACGCAAAACCACAAACAACCTCGCCATGCCGCCACGTTGTCCGTCACTAACAGAAATGCAAATGCATCAGGTGCAGTATAGCCTCATCGTTATCGTACAGTACGGTGCCGTATAATCGTATAGTTAAAACAGACACATATGCACATAGCCAACACAGGTCGCGGGTAGTTGACAGTTGGTGGTTCTTTGTAGCCCGAACAATTGCCCTCGTCGCAATTCGTTAGTTGACGGTTGTCAGCCCGACCTGTCGTTCCTGCACAGCCTCCCACTCGCCGAATTATGGCGTAGCCAATTGATCCTCTGTGTGTGTATGTATGTGCGTATGCGTATGTGTGTGTATGTATGTGTGTGTATGCGTGTGTGTTTTGCGCACGCGTCCTCCATATCTTCTTTCCCCCTCCCAACACCCGTTGAAGACTAAGCCGTCGAGTCGTCGATCGCGGGCCCTTCAGTGCTGCTTTCAATTCTTGGAGTTCCCTCCTCCTCTCCCACCACACGCACACGTCACACGCTCTGCCACCCGAATGCCCAAACCCTAAGTCGACCCTTGTAGGATCAACTACATAACAACCAACCACTTATCCACCAACCAACCAACCAACAAACCAGTAACCAACAGGGCCTTCCACCACATATGTACGTCCGCAACGCAAACGTAACCCATCTCCGACACCCCCCCGAGAGCTCTTCATGCACACGCACATACACCC